TCAGCCTCTTAACCAGGGAGCCCTGATACTGTTTCCAAATGTGCAGAAAACAGTCCATGATTGGGCATCTCTTGTGAGCACCAGATGACTGCAGGTGGCCACTTTCTGGGGTGTGTGTGTGTGTGTCTCTGTGTGTGTCTGCCTCCCATTCTCCATGCTTTATTACAGCTGCGTCTAGATTGCAAGCAACCCAACCCCTTTTTTCCCCAACCCAAGAAAGAAAGGAGGAACATCTGTTCACACAAATGCCTTTCTAATTTCTCCTTCACTCTCACTCAGAGTCTGGGTTAAACAAGGCCCCTGTTCAAGCTTGTACAGTATTTCATTTTGGAACAGTTTCAAAGGGAGGCTCGGAGGCAAGAGCGAGGACGGATGATGGCCACGGGTGGATAAATCTTTCATAACCCTCTGTGTGTGTGAACTTTTCCAGGCCTGGATCCCAATCACACAACAGAGAGCGGGGTGGGGAATGGGAAAGAGGGTGGGGAGAGGGAGAGAAAGAGAGAGATTGGATTCCATAATAACAAACACCTTTGCGGCAGCTCATTAAAATCAACTGGGTTTCTGAAGCACAGCAGGGCACTTGTGTGGATAAATACTGCAATCTCAGAGACTGAAGTATTTTCACATCTGAGTTCTCTCTGCAGATGATGGTTGCTGCTCCCTTTCTAATCCCCTTCTCCCTCCAACCCCAACCCTCCTCCTCCTCCTCCTCCCCTCCCCGGAACAATTTTAGCTGATGACTTCAATTAGCAAAAGGCATCAGAAAACCAAAGTCGGAGGAAAATGCCTCCAACCCCCTCCCCCTCTTTTTCATGTTTTACAAATAGTGTCACAAACTAGAGAAGAGAAGGGAGGGCGAAGGAGACAAAAGTGGGTTTACGGAAGATGACAAACTGCCAAGAAAGGGGGGAGGTATCAGAAAACGAGGGGTGGGGAGGGAGCAGAGAGAGGAAGAGCAATTCCAGGCCCTGAAATTTCCTTCCACTACTCTATTTGCTCTTGTCATTTCCCATTTACAAAGGAAATGTCTCCCCATTTGGCACTTTGGTGACCAGCTGGAAATACAGCAGCCGTTCTCCCCCTATTTCCTAAAGTGCTGCTGCTGTTGCTGCTGCTGCTTCAGTCATGGGAGAACCAGGTACTCACACTGGACTTCCAATTGCCTGCTCCGCTCATTTCCATCAGCACCTGCTGTGCTGGATGGAAATGCAGTAAAACATAACAAAGATTCATAGAATCCATCTGCAGCCCCCTTTCCCCAAAATCTGAAGCCAAAATTTGGGATTTTCTTCTTCTTCTTCATTCCACCCCATTCACCAAATTACAGCTTGGAATTTCAAAGACATGGAGCCGGATTCGAATGTGTCTAAATGAGCCAGAAATAGCTGGAATTGAAAGGCTACCACATGTTGAGATGCTTTGCCCAAGAATTGAAGATTGAACACTGGGCGGTTATCCCAAGTCCATACTTGGTTTCTGTAATCACAGAATTGCAGACTCTCCAAGTGTCTCTATTTTCCATGGACAGTCCCTGGTTTACAGAAGCCGTCCAAGTTTCTGATTTGATCCTAGAACGTCCCGCTTTTCCTTAGGACGTCCCTATTTTCATTGGAGAAATGTTGGAGGGTATGGAGTTGTCTAACCCCAAGCCATCTGAAGGCAGCCCTGTATAGGGAAGTTTAAAAAAAAAGTTTAACGTTTTATTATGTTTTTATATATGTTGGAAGCTGCTCAGAATGGCTGGGACATCCCAGCCAGATGGGCAGAGTATAAATAGTAAAATTATTATTATGGAATAGGATGTTCCTATTTTCACTGGAGAAATGCCAGAGATATGGATTTGTAGAGTTGGAAGGTACCCCAAGTCATCTAGTCCAACCCCTTGCAATGCAGGAATCTTTTGCCCAATATGGGGTTTGATTAAGAATCTCATGCTCCACCGATGGATGAAGGCCTTCTCCCTGCCTCCCATAAGAGTAAGAGAAGTGGTGTTGCTTAGCATTTATGTCATGCTTTGTTGTGAGATTAGCCCCACACATCATCCCAGAAGAGGCTCTAGAGTCTTTTTTTTTTGCTGTTGCAAGGGATCTGGGTGGCTTCAGCTGAGAGCTTCTCAGAGCAGGGAGTGGGTTCCCCCTTGTAGTCTGTAACTGTTTTGCTGCATCACCACCAACACTTTCTCAAGTCATCCACCCTGTTGCTCCCAGAGACCAGCCAGAAGCTCTTCAGATGACACCACAGTCTCAGTATAAAACTGCCACAGTTCAGTATATGTCAACTCTGCCAGTCTAGGTCCGTAAATCCCTCTGAACTCCCTCCCCCCCCCAGCTTAACTCCAAAGTTATTTCTTCCCTATACCCCACCAGCAGCCCCTCAGCTCATTCTGGGGCATGTTGCTAACGGAAGCAAGTTGGTCCCTTCACCCTCTGATTGAAGGTCACTCGCCATTCTGCCAAATAGCTCCCTTTTTGCTGTCTAGCAGCGGGACAACTGAGCTGGCTTTTGTCCTTCCAGGCCTCATTGCATGGTTCTCTCCATAGAATGTCAAGCTCTCCCCCCTCCCTTTCTGAATGGCAAGAGTGAGGTAATGCATTGGAGATGTGAACTTTAGCAGAATGGTAGCATAATGCTGACAATGACGCTTATTCAATCGTTCAAATATCTTAACAGCTCAGATAATGCCATCAGAAAAACGCCCGCCACTTAAGTGCACTTCATCACGCCAGGCTGACCTACTTGCCAGCTCTCTAAAGAGACACAATTATTCCAAAGTGTGGACTTTCCATTCCCGGGCCTGAGCGAGGCGTGGATGGACTCGGTCAGAAAAATCACCTTCCAAACTTATGTTCAAGCACGATGGCTGTGGAGACCACTTTTCTTTAGAAAGTTTGGGCAATGTCTGGCAAAGAACTCTCTTGCTTAGGTGTGTCGGCAGGAACTTTGCACACGCCATTTGCCTTCCAAGGTGTGATGGCCTGGGACTCAGACTCGGAACCGGATGAGTCTTGGTCCGCACCGGATCCTCTGCCTCAGGTGGCATCTGAACCGAGTCTGGGGCCTGATTCTGAAGAGCCCCAGTCTGCACAGGTTCCCCTGCAACAAGCACCAGCTGAGCCAAGTCAGGGGCCTGAGTCTGCCCTGGCTTCAGATGCAGGGATTACCTCATTGCCCTCTGTTGGGCAATCACGTGCAGCTGCTCCACTACCAGTTGGGTCAGGAGAGGTTGAGGTGGCCTCTGGGTCTAGTAACCCACCGACATCTCCCGAGCTGCAGATACTGAGGTCTGAGAGAAGGAGAGACCTGAGTACTCACAGGAGGAGGGCTCGCCTTTGGGCGAGACAGGGAGGTGAGTCACCGGGGGATCAGGTCTGGCCGTTACCCCATCAGAGATAAAAGGCTGCCGGACCCCACCCCAGGTTGCGGGAGCAACATTGCTGCTTCCTGCTTGTTATCCTGTGCCTGACCTAGCCTTGGTTTCCTGCCTTGGCTCTGTTGGACTGACTCCTTGTGGAATCCTTAGATTCGGGACCGGACCTGGACTGCGTTGTTTGGGTTAACCCCCGGTCTCAGCACACAAGGCATGACTGGTGGCAATGTGTAAGAGGGTTCTTTCTCTGTGGCAGAATCCCATCTGCGGAACTCCCTGCCCCAGCAGGTTAGAATGCCTTCTTATTTATCGGTGTTCCGCTGCCATTGGGAGGCCGTTCTCTTTAAACAAGCCTTTTCTGTCTCTCCTGTGAATGTTCGATTTTATTAATCATCATCCCAAGCTCTCTGTGGCCCAGTTTTGTTGCTGCTGTTCTGAATTGTGTTGGTATTTAATTGTTTTCACAATGAGACCACAGTTAACTTTATTTTTAGGTTGGTTTTGATACTTGGTTAGCTGAGTTTTAGACGGGGAAAGTGAGTTAGACATTTGGGTCTGAATAAATAAATAAAATCAATACTTAGAAGGGACTTGCCTATGTTTAGCTTACAAGAAAGAATTTCGTGGCCAGTTACTTCTGAGTAATCTAGCAGATTGTGGTTAGCCAAACCAACATTTGTTGGACTACCCATCATTCTTGAGAATTGGATCGTGCTGGCTGGGGTTGATGGCAGTTAGTCCTACATCATCTGGGTTGGGAAGTCCACAGGTTAGCCATCTCTCGTTACTTCAATAGGGTTTTGTTTTTAGAGCACATTGTCAAATTAAGAGCACGTTGTCATGAAATTCATCGTAGCTGCTGCTGAATCCAAAACAACAAAAAGTCTTCTGGCACCTTGGAGATAAGCATATTTATTATGGGAAAAACTTTAATGGACTAGAAGCTACTTCCTCAGATTCATGCAGATGCAAACACAATGGGCTATATACCTTTATCTGCCTTGTTACTCCTGTGGGAACGTTTTCTTGCTTGGAATGGGTTGGGCAATAAATGGTGGTCTTTGCACCTTTTAAGTCCTTCCTGGCCAGGGTGCTAAATTGGCTTCTCCGAAAGGAGTTCTCTTAGGACTTATCCACACTTACCTTTCCTCTGCTCTTTCCATGTATGGTCCATGATTTAAAGCTCTGTGTCCAAGCACCTCCCCTTCTTCTTCTTTTACTCTGAAGATTTTCCCATGAAAATTTGCTCTTTAAAGCTCAGCCAGAGCAAACGTCAATCTACGGGGAATCCAAATGGAACTTTGGTCCAATTCAGTTTTAAAGAGTGTGCTTTTGTAGGGAAAGTTCAGGGAGAAGAATCCACCCAAAGCAAAAAATAAATAAAAATGCTCAGACAGAGCATTAAAGTGCAGACCTCTGCCTGGAAAGAGTGGGGCAAAAGATAAGTGTGGGCAAGTCCTCAGTTTGGGGGATGGCCATTTAAGATAATGTTATTTTCCGCCCCTGTCATGTACAGTGAGCCAGGACTGACTCTGATGCTGAAGTCTCCCACCTGCAACCCACCTACTGCTGTCCTTAGAGGGGCCACACTCTGTTCTGGCAGACCCTTGGGAGCGTATCCATCAGATCCTTCTTCCACCACATGGGACTCAGCTGCCTGGGAAGCAGGACATGCTATTCCGAGGCAGTTGTCTATTGTGACATTTGGTAATTTATTCCCTTTCAAGTGTCATTTTATATTAAGCATTTCCCGGCACGTCCTAATTACAAGGTAAATAAACAGGGCCCTCCCTTCCAGTTATTTTGTGGTGCTGTTCTATTACCAGCAAAGGGAGACTCCACGAGAAGGACGTGACAGGCAGTTCTTGCCAGCCAGCAATTATGTTTATGGCTTCCTGTGCTTTTCCTTGCAGTGGTCCTTCGTGCTGAGGATGGTTTTCCTTTCTTTCTCTCTCTCTCTGCTTCCTGCTTTTGCATCTTCTAAAGCCGCCTCCTTCCATCTTGGTCTAGTTATGTTTATCCTGGAGAAATGGAGAACTAGGGATGTCACAAGGAATAGGATAGGTGCACTCACAAAAGCATGCTTCCTCATGAACAGGGATAGGATGAGGAGGGCTTGCACTGCACAACCCATGAGTGCCTCCTGCCACCTTCACCCCCCAGCCCCCAGCCCCCTCCATTGCACAGGGCAAGAGAAGGGGAGGCAGTAGCAGTGGAGGCAGAAATGGAAGCTGTACAGCTCCTTTGAACATCCATTTTCCATGTGGGATAAGGGGCTGGGTCTACATTTTCCATCCCTCTCAGTTGGGAAAATTACTCTATTTGCATCTGTTTCTTCTGGTTCCAGGGCCAGCAGAATTATGTGCAACCTTTTTTGATACTCAAACAGTTTTATGCTGATGCAGTGGAGCTTGAACTACCCACCTTATTGCAAGATTGCTTAAGCAAGGTCCCAAACTCCTTGCTTCTCATTCTCTTGTATTCAACCTGACTTGCAGCCAGTCCATGAGGAGCTGTCCATAGTGCTGACCACCTGGGACTCTGCTTGGTCTTGTGCTTGGCCAGTCGATCCCTGAAATCTTCAGTCTGGAGTGGGACTTTACTCTTCACTTCTATACCCCCCAAAAGGTAAGTTCCTGGTGGTGTAAGAGTAAGAAGACTCTGCCATCAGAGAAACCTACCTGCTATATTTCTGCAGGCTTCTCTTCTGGCCGAGCCTCCTAACTGGAGAAAATGAAACATAGAATCATAGAACTGTAGAGTTGGAAGTGATCCCAATGGTCATCTAGTCCCTGCAATGCAAGAATTCCAACTAAAGCATCCATGACAGATGTCCATCCAAGTTCTGCTTAAAAACCTCTAAGGAAGAAGAGTCTTCTGAGGAAATCCGTTCCACTGTCAAACAGCTCTTACCATCATAAAGTTCTTGATGTTTTGTCAGAATCTCCTTTCTTGTAACCATTGGTTTTGGTCTTACCCTGCAGAGCAGGAGAAAACGAGCTTGCTCCATCTTTACCCAACTCCTGCAACTATTCCTCATAAGGCTTAATTTCCAGACCCTTTATCATCTTGGTTGCCCTCCTCTGCACATGTTCCAGCTTGACCAAATTCTTCTTAAACTGTGGTGCCCAGAACTGTACACAGTACTCCAGGTATAGTCTGATCATTACTTCAATTGACCGGGACACTATACTTCAGTTGATGCAGTCTAGAAGAGCATTATCTTCTTTTGCTCCTGTGTCACACTGTTGACTCATGTTAAGCTTGTGGTCTACTAAGACCCCAGGTCTTTTTCACATGTACTACTGGCAAGCCATGTGTCTCCCATCTTATATTTGTGGAGATGATTCTAGGACCTTTACTGGTATCAACATCAAACTGACTGGTTGGTAGTTACCTGGGTCTTCCCCCCCCCCCACCATTTGAAGATTGGGACAACATTTCCTGCCCTCCAGTCTGTAGGGACCTCACCTGTTCTCTGATAATTCTCAAAGATTATAGACATAGGCTCCAAGATTATACCTGCAAATGAAAGAATGACTAAAAGCAGGGGCAATGTCACAGTTAGGGAAGTATGTGGCATGCTATGTGGAACTGGGCTAGCAGAGAATCTTGCTCCCAGAAGCTCCCTCCTCCTGCAAGCCATCTGCCGTCCTTGCCTGGGTCTTGCACTACAGCTTGTCTGGCCTGATCACCACAATTTCTTTTTTTCACTGCTCCTGATAAAAAAGTTAGATTAAGAGACAGCTTGCAGCTCCATGAGCAGAGATTCTCTCCCCCTCCAATATGGGAGCATTCCAAATTAAAACTTATCTTCTACTGGCCACAAATTGAATCAGCATTGTGAAGATCAGATGTGATGCACAACATAACCAGGTTTTGTCAAGACAGATTCAAAGCACCAACTTCTGAGACATGTTGGGCTCAAAATGTCTTTTAACAAAGAAATGAAAGTGCTATGGTTGGAAGGAGGGGACTTTCTACTTCATGGACCAGCAGCCAGAGGAGTTTGAAGCCTTATCTATCTATAAAGATGAACAAAGATCTCCCCCAACACCCATGGCCAATGTTATGCCGCTTGAAAAGTATTATCCAGTGCTATTATTATTATTATTATTATTATTATTATTATTATTATTATTGAGATCTTTTGCCATTGAATGCATGAGTATGTGCATTATGGACAGTTTTGAGTACAGCTTCCATAAGTCCGGAATTTCCCCGACATAAATGGAATACTGTAGTCAGAAGCAGTGTCCGGGTGGAAAAACCTGGACGTATGGCAACCCATGCTGGCAGGGTCGTTTTTGGCAATGTTCCTTAAAAAATGGCTCAAAAACTTTGGGCAAAACTAAAAAAAGGGCTCAACAGCTTTGCCAAAAAGCTCACTTTCTGAAATATGGCAACCCTAGTTTTGAGGCAATTCCCAGAGTCCTCATCCATAACCACAGAATCCATGGAATTTTCATGGATACTTTAACTTCTCTGACAGAAATTGCCCATGTTGCAGTGTTAAATAAATTGGTGCAACTTCTGTGAAGGAAGTAAGCATTCAAGGGAGGGGGGAACCTTCACAGAGAAACTAGGGTGAGGACAGATTGTTTGCTACTGGCAAGAAGGGAGCAGCAAGGCAAAGAGGTTTGGAGGCTGCCCACCTGTGCTGCCATCAGTCTTCGTGCCCAGCTTGTAAGCCTCCCAGACTCACCTGATTGACCACTGTAGAAAACAGAAGTATTAACCAGGTGGACCTTTGGTCTGGCTCAACAGGTTGCTTTTTTTCTTTCACAGTGGCTGTGGAGCTACTGGGTGAATAGTCTTGGCATGTGTTAGGAGCTTGTAGGACTAAGTAGGTGCTTGATTCTGTCCATCCCTGATTCTTTAGATCAGGCATAGGTAAACTCAGCCCTCCAGATGTTTTGAGACTACAATTCCCATCATCCCTGACCACTGGTCCTGTTAGCTAGGGATGATGGGAATTGTAGTCCCAAAATATCTGAAGGGCCGAGTTTGCCTATGCCTGCTTTAGATCATTTCTCAGCATTCTGTCTTTCCCAAGCGTGTGGGGAGAGATAGATGAGGGAGGTGAACAAGCAAAGCGTCTTCAGGAACTGCTGTGCGGCAGAGATACGTTCAGATGGACTTATAAAAGGCACATGCAGGATGATTAATTTGTCTATCGGTAAATCTCACTTTCCTCTGTCGTTTTCTTTGCATGTGCAAATTGGTCTTGGCATTAATTAAGCTGATTTCGTTACACTCTCTTTAATTTGTCAGGATAGTCTTTCTTTGCTGGACAAAGAGGAAAATGCTTTGGAGAACTGTCACAACTGCAGTTGTGTTGTGCGCTTGCCCCCTTTCCCTTAGAGAGCCACCCAGAGAAGAAGAGTCGTTATCAATTAGGCCTATTTGCATGCCGATGAGCTTCGTCATTTGAGTTTAGCCAGATTTGCAAATACTGACAGAGTGAGTTGACCCTTTGTATACTTTCACTTTAATATACTGCTATGCAAAGGAGGTTCATGCCAGAACTGGTAACGAATCAGACTTTATTTTGCATGGGTCTCTTCTGAAATGAGGCCTTATTAGGCCAAGGAATATCTTTAAATTTCATCTGTAATTGCAGAGCAAACAAACTCCTAAGCTCCATTCTCCTCCTCCTTTTCTTTCTTGCCTGCATCACATGGCTGAAATAGGAAAGAGAGTCTTACTCTCCTAATTAAGGCCTGGTTTGATTTCTGCAGTCTCTCCTGTCAGATGGTCTTTAGTCTTTCGGAGGTATTCTTCTGCTCGAGTTACTTAAAGCTTACTGGAACACCTATTTATAGTCGGCTCCCCCATAGTGATCTGCCTGAATTAAAATTATAACAGAGGGAGGGGGAGGGGGAAGAGGGAGAGTCTGTAACTAAGAAAGCATTACCACGGTGACAGGCGTTGCACATTAAGAAAAAGGCAGGCAGCCTTGCGATTCCCTCGGTGGAAAAATTAGATGAGAAAGAGAAACGCTTTAAGCCACCAGCTAGTTGGCATAACAAAACTGCACAACCCCCCTCCCTCCCTTTCTCTCTCTCTCTCTTTTTAAAGGACACCCTCCTACCTGATTTTGCCAGCTCAGTTTTGCAGCTGGGAATCTGTGGCTGTATCTCTGCTCTGTGGGAGCCCTGTCTGGACAGCAGGGAAGCAGTAGCAGCTCCTCTCTCTCTCTGGTGTGGCCACTGGAGAGCAGAGAGAAGGGTACTGGCCGTTACTGGTTGAACAGCCTGCAGAGCAGGTGATTGAAAAAGCCTGGAGCTTAATGTTCCAAGAAGAGTTCAGTTTAGTGCTGCCAGGAGTGCATGAGGGTGGGAAATCAGCTGAGCCTCTCCTGACAGTTCCTCATATATTGAAGGCAACTGAAAAGATCCTGAACTAGATCCCAGGGCAGAAGATTTGTTCCCTTGTTGAGATAAGGCAGCAAAAAGAGGACATGGTGGTGAAGGCTTTCCGCTTTCTTTTCAGCTGCCCTCAACACTAAAGTTACCAGATTTTTTTCAATGAACCCGGGGACACTTTTCAGCTTCAATGGATTTTGTATGGGGACTGGTTTGTAAATCCGGGGACTGTCCCCGGGAAACGGGGATGTCTGGTAACCTTACTCAACACTGACATCAGCTCTTTCTTGTTGGTTTGGGCATCAAGCCCGGAAGCAAGCGAAGCAAGAAGGACCTTAATAATAATAATTTTTAAATTTTATTATTTGTACCCCACCCATCTGATTGAGTTTTCCCCGCCACTCTAGGCGGCTTCCAACAAATATAAAAACATCAAGCATGAAAACATTAACTTCAGGTTAAGAGCATGGATTTGGGGAGGGGGTAGGCAGAATGGTCTGAGCTTTTCAGGTACAAGTTTGTTAGCGATAAAGGAGAACAGCCGCCAGAAGGAAGCAAAGTTGTGCTGCAGGCAAATTCATACTATTGGTGTCATTAAACAAACAAAATTCAAACCCCACAAACTTCATTATCAGGTATTCTCAGCGTGACTGCAAACGAAGAGAAGTGGAGGGAATGAAGACAAATCTTACAGAGCTTCTACCAGGTAGGAAGAGAGGAGTCGCACGTACCCTGCAATCTGTTTTTGCAAGATCCCTCAAAGAATATACAGTGGTACCTTGGTTTAAGAACAGCTTAGTTTATGAACAACTTGGATTAAGAACACTGCAAACCTGGAAGTAGGTGTTTTGGTTTGTGAACTTTGCCTTGGAAGCAGAACATGTTCCGCTTCCTGTTGAGTGTGTTCCGTTTGTAAATTGAGTCCCCCGCTGCTAATTAGAGGCTTCCTGTTGAGTCCCAAGCACCCACACAACACAGAGGTGACATTCGGAGCTTTTGCTTTTGCTATTTTTTGCGTTTTTGTTTGTATGGCTTTTTCATTTTTTTGACTGTGACTTGTTCTTCATTTTATGGGACTGACTTGTGACTATGGCTTGTGACTTCGTTTTTGTGACTGTGGCTTGTTACTTGGTTTTCGTGACTTGGTTTTGTGACTGTGTGGAACCCAGTTCAGCTACTGGTTGATTGTGTGACTGCAGAAGTGGATAAATGCCCCCCCCCCACAATCCAAACAATGACTATCATCAGTGCACATAAGAAAAAAACAATAATTTTAATTTTTATCATCTACAATACTGTCTTATTTATTTTATAGTACAGTACATTGATTATTGCCTTCATTTTATGGATCAATGGTCTCGTTAGATAGTAAAATTCATGTTAAATTGCTGTTTTAGGGGTTTGTCTGGAACGGATTAATCAATTTTCCATTACTTTCTATGGGAAAGCGTGCCTTGGTTTAAGAACACTTTGGTTTAAGAACAGACTTCCGGAACAGATTAAGTTCGTAAACTGAGGTACCACTGTACCCTCCTGTTTTGAATATCTAAGAACAATTGAAGATCCCTGTCAGATCAGACAAAAGGCACATCTAGTTCAAAATTCTGTTTTCACGGTGGCCATTCAGGTGCCTCTTCTGGGAAGCCCAGGAGCAAGACTTGAGCTCAACAAGACTATTTCCACTTTTGATCCTAAGCAACTTGTATTCAGAGGTGTACTGTCCATGACAGTGGAAGCAGAACATAGCCATCATAACTAGTAACTATTTGCAGCCTCATCTCCCACAAATTGGTCCAAACCTATTTCAAAGTCATCCAAATCAATGGCAATCAATACATCTCATGGGAACAAATATCATAGTTTAACTATGTGAAGAAGCACTTGCTTTTGCCTGTCCCAAATCTTCCAATATTCTGCTTTCTTGGATGATCCCATGAGGTCCTAGTACCTCTTTGCCCTGGCTTTTGACACTCAAGTGCATATTTTTAGGACCCACCATATTTGTGTAATTGTAAGTGGTTTTAAACTGTTTTAAATATTGTGTTGTAATGTCCCACCCTGGGACCTTAGGGTGATGGGCAGGTAATAAATTTAAGAATTAAATAATAAAATTACGATGGGGAGAGTTTGTCTGTTCCCCCACCATGTCTAATTTTATGCACCTCTATCCTTTCTCACCTTTTTTTCTAAGCTGAAATGCCCCCTTTAGGGGAGTTGCTGCACCAGCCCCCAGATAATTGTCATTGCATGACTTTTCATGGCCAACTTAAATACGGTCTCCATGTTCGGGGTGGGGTGGCACTTAGAATATAAATTCAGACCAGGCACCTGGCCTCAGAAACAAGCATCTTGGATAGCTCAGTTGGTTAGAGTGTGGTGCTGATGATGCCAAGGTTGTGGTTTCGGTCCTCATGTGGGGCAGCTGCATATTCCTGCATTGCGTGGGATTGGACTAGAGATCCCCAGGGTCCCTTCCAACTCTAGAGTCCTATGATTGTATGATCTTGGGATAAAAAGGTGGAATGGGCGCTACTTGAAAAGGAGATGTATCGAAGCTGGTGGATACAGGGCTGTGGACCTGGTGGAAGGTAGCAGATGTTTGCAGGGTGTGTTTGTATATGGAAGATGGCAACAGTGTGAATTATCAACCAGCTTCAGCCTTGTGACATCCTGTTGCCAGTTGATTGCCTGCTTTCTAAAACAAGGGCTGTGGTGGAGAGGAGATATGTTTCAAAAAATGTAAGAATAGGAGAATAGCCCTGATGGATCAGCTCAAAGGCATCCCATTCTCACAATGGCCAACCTGATGCATATAGGAAACCCATCCTGACTGCAACTGGTACCCAAGAAGCATCACTTCCTCTGGTGGAGGGGGGGGGGTAGAACACATCTGCCAGGGTTTATCAATGTGACTGCACCCTGACAGGCCCCCTTGCATCCTTAAGGTACAATATAGTTTAGGTCAAGATGCCCTAACCCTTGAATTCCACCTGCCCTCTAAAACAGGAGTTCAGGTTTCCTTCCAACTCTATGATTCTACAGTAGTCCAGAATCACATTTCACAAATGTGCTTACATTCTGAAGGGCTGAAGAACTGTTATGCAGCACAGCTAGCTGGGCAGCAGATAGCTTCAAGAGGCCACTCTGGTTTTTGCAGGAGCAAGTATGAGCCAGTTGCACCACTGAAATCACATGGTTGACAACTCAGCATATGTTTGAATAGCCCTTTATGAGAGCTGGGGCAATAAACACAGTGTTACAGACCAGGTTTTGAACCTGGCAATGTACTAGGGTCTGTAGGGCTTGAATCTCATGGCCTGTTGTTGGCACTGAGCCAAGTGAATTGTCTGAAACGGTGTGCTCAGGCTTCAGCAATGCCCTCTCCAGGCAGAGAAGAAGTATCAATTGCAGAGCTAAGTTAGCCACCTTGCAGTGTGCTTGCTCCGCTAGTGAAACATATTGAGATAGTGAAATGTTGCTGTGCAAGAGATTGCAAAAGCAGTTGGTACCGGATTCAGCCAATGCCTGAGACCTGGACTGAATGGGGGGGGGCAGCGGTCCTGCACATTGCTTGACCCGATTGCTGTAGCTCAGGTGACCCAGAGAAATCTGGGGCTGTCAGGAGGCGGGGGGTCAGACAGGATTGAGAGGCAGGCAATGGGGTTTGAAGAAGGAAAAATTGCAAAAATTCCTAAGAGAATAAGAGTGACTTACCTGACTGGCTGTGTCATCGTGGGAGAAAGTAGGGGTGGAGTGGCGGTGGATGCCTTTGAATGCGGAGTGCAGACCTTTCTGCCTAGCCTCTCCTCCCCATCCAGTGCCCCATTCCTTGAAGCCACACTGTGCAGGATGGATATCCAGAGCTCCAGTGCTGAGCTTCCCCTGGCACGGCCCATTAGCACAGCAGTAGCAGCAGCAGCAGGTGCAAGGGAGAAGCCGAGAGGTTGAACTCTGCTCCAATTTGCAGGGCTAGAGTTAATATTTGCTGAAAGGACTGGTCTGCCAATCTGTTACAATGATGCCTATTTGCAAGTGTAGCTGAATTCTCATTAGCCAGCGTGAGACATGGGTACGGGGAAGGCGCAGGGAGCAGATTTGCCGCTGTTCCAGAAAATGGAGGGAGCCGCAGCCTTTGCTGACATTCTGAGCGCTTCAGCCCCTCGTCCTGCTAGAGATGCAAAATAGAAATGGCATTTCTGAATACGCCTGACAGTTCGCTCCGTGTGGAACCTGTTGAGTTGTGACTCGGTGCGTTTCGGAAGCACTGATAGAATTAAAGAAATGTTAATGCATGCAGCTCGCTTGCCGGCTGCCTTGCCACACACCCGCCCAGTAATAAAGAGTTCGCAGCTGAACAAAAAAAATCACTAGTTGCTCTTCCGCGACAATTCTGATGATTTATTCTGGGTGGCTAGGAATGTTCATGAGATCATGTGGCCTCAGGGATGGAAGGCATCAAAGGCCCAGTCCTCCACATTCATGACTCCTTGCAGGCCTTTCTGTGCCACCGCCCCCGTTTAATTTGTGCAACTCAGACCACTATATATAATGTCAAAAGCAGACCAATGCCCAGAGTGGTGTTGATCAGAAAGCAGAGAATCTGAGAATTGGAGGAGAGGTTGTGGGACATCTCAGCCAACCCCTCTTATTTCATGTTGGAAGTCCAGAGCTGGTCTGGATGTGGACAATGTAGAAGTGTAACTGAAGGTAGGGAGGTCTAGGTATGGGTAGCTTCTGAAATGGAGGTAAGCAAGGAATTAGCAACGCACTGCCGCTGAGTACCATGATGGAAGAAAAGGAGGATATAAAAATCACATA